CCCGCCCCCCCCCCCCCCCCCGCCCCAGCCTTCCAGCCGGCCTGAATCACAGGTGCCTGCAGGCATACCTAGCTTGTTCACATCAACCCAGGATCTGAACCCCGAGCCTTCCCAGATGGTACCGGTATCGTGCAGCAGTGCCCTACTGCCTGCACAACAGGGACCTGATTCCTAGAGCTTTTGAAGCCAAGATACATTCTATGCACTAAATAGAAAACAATTATTTCCAGGCACAGGAGAGCCAGTTTCCCAGCTCTGAACTATTGTTAACTCTGTTCAACTGTGGGATGTTCTCTTTCTTTCTCTCAGAAATGAAAAAGTTAACTACTTCTTCTATAGCAACATTGTATTCTTTAACATCCTATATTTTGGACCAGCTAATGGCACAATGGCTATGTTGCTGGACTCCCCAGTAGTTGACCATGGTTCGAGTCCCAGACCTGGTGGCTTAAACTCACGCCAGGTGCATGTGCGTGTGTGCCCAAGATCCCGAGAGGAGAATGGAGGAGAAGGGATTGCGGCGTGGTCATCTCCCCAGGGGGATGATTGTTCGCTTTCTGTCTCTCTGGAAAGCACATGCTCTTTATAGCAAAAACCTTTCAAAAACAAACAAACAAACAAACAAAAATCCTATGTTTCTAGAACAGCATTACAGCCCTGGGCAATTTCTATTACAGAAGTACCTCCCTCTCCCACCCATTCTCAGTACCCCCAGAAGCTCTCCTGAGATGTGCAAGAGCAACCATGTTGTTCTCCAGCTTCTAGGAGGACCTTAGCTAGGGGTAGATTTTTAGTACACCTGCAATTCTTACTACAGGATGAGTACCCTAATATGAAAATCCAGACTGCAAAATACTCAAAAATCTGAAACTTTTTGAACACTAACCTGATACCACTAGTGGAAGATTCCCCACCTGACCTTATGAGATCAGTAGCAGTCAAAATGCTAATACATGAAAGTATTGTATAAAAGTGTCTTCCAGCTATGTGTGTAAGCTCTATATGAAACATAAATGAATTTTATGTTTACACTGGGGTCCCATCCACAAGATATCTCATCATGCAAGTATTCAAAAAAAAAAAATCCAAAATCTGAAACAACTCTGGCTCCAAGCGTTTTGGATAAGAGATACTCAACTTCTAATATAGAGGCTCATTATCTCCATCTTGAGATCGTTCAGATGGAGCACTTCCCTCTTTTTCCAAAAAATTATTTATATACTTTTATTTACCATCATTATTTTTATTTTTTAATTTGTTATAGGGCACATGCACTCACCACAGAGACAGAGAGAGAGAGAGGGAAAGTGAGAAAGTGAGCTGCCAGGTCCAGGTCGTGAACTGCACTCAGTCACATGGGAGGTCCAGTGCCTTAACCACCATGCCACCTGTTGGCCCCTCGGATGGAACATTTTCAGTTTTTGTACTGGGCCTAGGTTTCTTTGTCACTCTAACACCACCCCACGTAATACAAAGGATTTGGTGTCAGGGAGTGATTACCCAGATCTTGCTTCAAGGATAGCCACTTGGAGACACCAAGCAGGACAAAACTATGCCAGAACACCAGCTAGAGTCCTTCTGCTATCTCTGGCTCTCTCTTCTCTCCCCCAGGTAGGGACAGGGAAGGCAAGGCAGGAAAATCAGTTCTTTTTTTTTTTTTTTCCCTCTGCTGCTGCTCTCTCTCCCAAAGTCCTGAAGAACAAAATTATTTTAAAAATCTGTCATTTAAATGAATTTAATTGAAGCTTCCCCATGTGGGGTATCAGAAACCACTTCAGAGGTAAGGTTGAAAATGACTTTAAAGAGTCACTGTCCTCATGATGGATTATTAGTTTCCTTCCTTGACAAGCAACTGAGGACACTGAATCTGTGTCTGCCCAGCCTCAAACAGCTGGAAGACCTAGGGTGTTATAAATACTGAATGCTCTCAAAAAAAAAGTGAGCTCTCTCTAAATATCTATTGAGTAAATAAACTGTGGCTTAATGTTAACCACATCTTATTAAGGCTCAGAAGAAGCTAAATCCTTCAAACAAAACAGAGAAAAATACTGGATGGAGTTATAAAAGATTAGATAGCACAGATAAAAAAGATTAATTAATTTGAAGACATGACAACAGAAACTATGTAAAATGAAATACACAAAGATTGAAACATAAAATAGACAAACAGCATTAGCGGTTTCTGGGACAACTTCAAGTGACTATATGAAAATATAATTGGAAATCTATGAAAATATAATTGGTAGTGGAGAGTGACAGATAAAATATTTGAAGAAATTGTGCTAAAGAAATATCAAGTAAAGTAAGTCCCTAAATATGACGGATCAACGTACTATCTTTATGATGGTATAAAAACTATATACATAAAATAGAAACTATACTTCCGAGTTGGAATTTTGATCTTTTCCTGGGCTAGTTATGTGCCATCCAGCACTCTCCCATGACGCTGGGTGGTGGCCATGAGCTGCAGATCCCTGGCAACCACGTAGTCATGAGGGTAAACGATCAATGCTCGACAGTGTATTAAATGCATTTTTCAACCTGTGATATTTTCAATTTGTGATGGCTTTATCTGGATGTAACCCTATCCTAAGTCAATGAGCATCTGTATAATGAAAATTATAGACCCACAAAACCAAGATGTGTAATGAGCCTCAAACACAGAAAACATGAAAAAAAGGACACCAAAGCAATTCACAATCAAATTCATTAAAACCAGAGACAGAAAAATTTAAAAGCAGTCAGAAGGGGAAAATACATCCCATAGAGAGAAAGAAAGATGAAAACGACAGATTTCTCGCCAGAAACAACGCAGGCTACAAGAGCTACATCTTTAGAATGCTGGGGGGAAATAAACAAACAAACAAAAAAACAAGTCAATGTAGAATTCTATGCCCAGTGACACTATCTTTAAAAACTTAAAGTGAAATACATTTTCAGATATGCAAAAGTTGAAAGAATTCATCCCAGCAGACGTAAACTATAAGAAAGGTTAAAAGGGTCCAGCCATGGTGGTGTAGGCAGTAGAGTGCTGCTGCTTGGAGCTGGGGTCACACGGTAGGCCCAGGATTGGATCCCAGAACCACCCAAACGGGCTAGGTACAGTGGTGCATGTCTGCAGTCCTAGCAAACTGGAAAGCTGGGGCAGATGATTGAGGCAGTGAGCTCCTATTAAAAATACTTGTCTCTCTCTCTCTCTCTTTCCTTCTTCTTCCCTTGCTCTCTCTCTTTCTTTCTCTCTCATGGAAAAGAAAAGAAAAATAAGGAAGGCGTTCAGGAAGAAGGAAAAAGATACCAGATAGAAGCTTGGAGCTACAGAGAAGAATAAAACACATTGGAAATGGTAACTACATGGGCATGGGCAAATATAAATTTTTAAAAAATTATTTAAATTCACTTTAGTTTTTTTTTTTTTTTTGAGAGGTTTTTGCTATAGGGCACGTGTGCTCCCCAGAAAGACAGAGAGAGACAGAGAGACAGAAAGCGAGAAATCACCCCCCCAGGGGGGATGGCCACGCCGCAATCCCTTCTCCTCCATTCTCGTCTCAGGATTTTGGGCACGCACGCACACGCTCCTGGTGTGAGTTTAAGCCACAGGGTCCAGGACTCAAACTGCAATTGACTACATGGGAGTCCAGTGACACAGCTATTACACCAACTGCTGGTCCCATTTAAACTCACTTTAAAAGATAATAATTGACTGTTTAAAGCAAAAATAATAACAATGTGTTGTGGGGTTTAATAAAACATGTAGAAATAAATTGTACGACAAAAATAAGATATAAGCTAAGATGGGAGAAATTAAAATATATCATTGTAAGGGCCTCATATAATTTGAAGATAAACTGCAATAAATTACCATGTATAGTATAACCCCAAAATAATAACAATAAATAGTTATAGCTAATTAGCTAAGAAAAGAGATAAAATGGGATTATAAAAAAATAATTAATTTAAAAGAAGCTTGGGGGGGCCAGGTGGTGGCATGGTGGATAAGGTGCTGGACTCCCATATGGTGGACCATGGTTCAAGTCCCAGATTTGGTGGCTTAAAAATTACGCTGGCTGGGACCAGCAGTTGGCATAATGGCTATGTCGCTGGACTCCCATGTAGTTGACTGCAGTTCGAGTCCTGGACCCTGTGGCTTAAACTCACTCCAGGCACGTGTGCATGCGTGCCTAAGATCCCTAGAGGAGAATGGAGGAGAAGGGAGTGCGTCATGGCCATCCACCCCTGGGAGGTGATTTCTTGCTTTCTGTCTCTCTCCGTCTTTCTGGCCAGTGCACGTGCCCTATAGTAAAAAACCTCTCCAAAAATGAAAAAAAAAAAAAATCACACTGGATGCACGAGCATGCATGCCCAAAATCCCAAGAGAAGAATGGAGGAGAAGGGGCTGTGGCCATTTTCCTGAGGAGTGATTTCTCACTTTCCTTCTCTCTGTCTCTCTCTGGTAAGAGCATGTGCTCTATGGCAAAAACCTTATAAAAATAAAGGAAAACAGGGAAACTATATTAATAAATACATGCAATTTAAAAGGTCTAAGTACACTTATAATTAAAGAGCAAAGAATGTGAGACTGGATAAAAATGTAAAGTTTACTAATAAACTGCCTAACTAGATCCGCTTTGAATTGAAGGCACAAATTAGGTTAATATTACAAGAATGATGGCCAGGTGGTGATGCAGTGGTGATGCAAGTGGACCGCCTGGGAAAAGCCTGGGTTTGTGTCCTAGGACCTCCCTAAGCACACTGGGTGTACTTACGCATGTCCATGACCTGGCATGGCTAAGACTGGGAGTGGATCATAGCAAGAACACCCTTTTGGGGGTTCTTGTCTCTTTCTGTCTCTCTCTCTCTCATGGAAATACATAAATTGTTTTAGAAAGGAAGGAAAAAGAAACACTGTCTTAACATTAATCAAAGGAGACCTCGTCATGTTAACATCGGACAAAGTAAATTTCAGAGCAAAGAATATTATCAGGGGTAAAGTGTACCGTACATAATGAGAAAAGAATTGGTTCATCAAGTGGACACAGGAATCCTCAATGTTCATACACCTAAATAAAGAGCTTGGAAATCTGTGACATGAAAACTTGTCAAACTACTCTGCATGACTGCTAATGTACTACTTTCCCAGTACAAATCCAACTGGGCACACCCAGTAAAGGTTTAAAAAAGCTGTTGAATGCATAAATTATGTGTCAATAGTATATACCACATACTTAGGTAGTTCCTTCATATATATTATTCTATATTAAGTTGTTGGAAAAGTCATGATGCATTTTTGCATAGAAAAACAGAAAAAATATGCCATGATTTTTCTGACAACCCAGTATCTTGATGACAACCTTGTCAGGTAGGTAGGCATTAATTGTGTATCACAGATGAGAAAACCAGAGTGCAAACTAATTGAGTGATTTGCCTAAAGTTATATAAGTATTAACCGGTGAGCTGAAGTTAAAATCTATGTTTGTCTTCAATGTTTCTATATTTTATGTCAGGCGTATGCTGCCTGGCTCACATTTAATTAGGACAATGAAGTTTCACTAATGTTTGTCATTCTTAAATCAGTTTACAGGATGTAAGTGCTACTCTAGCTCTATGAAATGCACAGCTAAGCCACAGCACAGAGGTGCAGCTAGGTGATAAACACCTAGAAAAATTCTAAAACAAACAATAAGGTGGTTTTCCCACATAAAATACAATAGAAAGGGAGAAACAAAAAGCAAAAAACAAAACAAAAAATAGATATAAAAACCCACAAAGCACCTGGGAGTTCAAAGCACAGAATATATTTCTAACTGAGGAATCACAAAATGATCCAAGAAGAAGGCAGGATTATAAAAATTCTGAAAAGTATCATTTTGCAAATTCAAGAGTGAAGGAAAGAAAGACTTTCTCACTTTCTCTTGCTTGCTCTCTCTCTGGTGAGTTAATAAATAAAATGTTTTAAAAAAGAGCTCAATTTTTTAAAAGTAGGTAATATTGATCATTCATAACTTGCTGGTTAACATTAGGATCAAATTCTTAGCCTAATTCAAAATAGTCTTACAAGTTTAATGCTTTTTATATTAAACGCTATGCATCATTATAACATTATGCTGTATTCTGGATTTTTTCCACTGTGATCTCTGACACCTGATTTTTCACAGCCCGTTAGCTGAGAACCAAGGACACAGCTTTCGATACAAACTATGGTTGAAGTAACAGAAATCCGGATCACAGGATGATGAGTTGTGCCAGATGCCATCCTGCATGTGACCAACCAGCCCTGGGTTACTGACTCTGATCTTGTCAGGCAACAGACTCACATGAGAGACATCTCGTGCTCTCTAGACAGCTTAATAACTCCAGATGCAACTAGAAAATCAAGAACATAGAAGTGACAGATGGGGGGGGTGGCAGGTAGTATGGTGGTTAAGTGTGCTGGACTCCCACATGGCCGACCACAGTTCGAGTCCTGGACCTGGTGGCGCTCTCTCTCTCTCTCTTGTCAAATTTAAATAAATAGATAAAGTTAAATAAAATAACTATTTTAAAAAGAAGTGACAGGGTGGGCTGATGATGGAGAGATAGGCCAGGGTATTCAGAGGCAGCACGAGGAAGGCACTGTGGGCGACAACCCAAAGCCTGCAGACATCTGTTTTTATGAAACTCAGAAATGGGAACTTAGGGTAATGGTCTTGAGCAGACAGCCACAGACTGCCGAGAGTCTGCCACATAGACCTCCAAACCTCAGTTCCTGTGTTTGAACATCTACTCTGTGCCAGGCACTGTTGCCGGCGCGCAGTTCAGCTGCAAACAAGACAAGGTCCCTGCTCTCATAGCACTTACACTGAAGCAGGGCAGAAAGATCTTCAACGAGTAAACCCATTATTATAATAAAATGGAGTAGGTATCTTGATGTTTCCACCAGGTACATTCAGGTGGAAACATCCTATATTCTTGATCATGCCAGAATACACATGTAGGAAACACAGACCTAGATAAAACTAATTTTTTCCAAACCAAAACCCAATGGAGCCCAGTCCACACTTACAGTAAGAGTAAAGTCGTAACAGTCAGGGAGCTCTTGATGACGAACTGTCTGCAGGTTAATGGCCTTCAGTTTAAACCGAAGCTCCACTGCTAGGAGTCTAGAAAACAGAGGAGACGTTAGCTCAGTGGCCCATACACACAAAAATAAGTCACACTCCCACCCCCTTCCCTCACCTGTGGAAGTTCAGCGTTAAATTGAGTTTATGTTCTTCCAGCGTTCCAATGTGAAAAGGTTCGTCTGGCTCTACAAAGAAACATTCTGCCATAGAAAGGAAAAAAAAAAAAAAAAACATGATCTAGTCCCTAAAATAAATAAATAAAACTGACTCATGAAAGGAAGATACATTTAAGATCACTGATTCAGGTTCTATTATTTTTCTAAATCAAGATTTGAAAAGCTACACATCAACTCCACTTGGTTACGATGATTCATGTTACTTAAACCATAAATGGCTACCACATTTCTGGAGCAGGCGGGGCTAGAAAAGGACGTGAATGCTCCATTAGTGTTTCACAGAGTGTTATCTTTGCTTTTGTTTTTTAAGCCTGAATAAATGTTGAATCCCTCTTCTTTTTTATAGTCTAAGTATAGGAACTGAAACAAGTGCAGTGCCTAAAAATTTTTGTAAGTAGTTTTAAGGATCTATTAAAAAAAAAAAAAAAAAAGGAGAGGGGACTAGTCTGGTAGTTAAAGGAACCAGATCCCACACAGTCGACCACGGTTTGAATACTGCCCCAGCACCTTGGGAACATGGAGAGAAAAAAAAAATGACCAGATACATACATGTAGGTGCCCAAAATCCCAACAGGATGGACAAATGGAGGAGAAGGGACTGTGGCATGACCATGCCCCATGGGGGAGATGCTTTCTCCTTCCCCTCTCTCCCTGTCTCTCTCTGGTGAGTAGATGCACCCTCTGGCAACTAAAAAATGAAAATAAAATCTCTCTCTCAAGGAGTACAAACAGCTTCTCTACTCTTTTGGTTCTCTCGTTCATTTCATCGCTTTGTCAGAGATCCTCAGTTATGCTGACAATGTACTCAACTTGTGTGTTGAAAGGTGACAGAAGTAACAGATGACATCTGGTTGTGTCGAGTGTCACTTGTTGAGCTTTTCTGTGCCAGTATCTCCTAAGCATTGTGACAGTGCTATTGCACCAACAGTTGGCATTCCTACACCACTCAATGTTTTCTTAGCGCCTTCATCAGCTACTTCCACTCTCTCTATGCACAGATGGGAGCTAAACCAACCAAAGCCCCAATACGGTGGCTTTCTACAGCTATTCAGGAAGTGTCAGAAATGAACAGACTCTTAACTGACTCCATTTAGTGTAATTGAAATATTCAGAAATAGATAGAAAAGCAAGGAAATAAATAAAATGTTAAAAGATAAAATTTAACGAGGAAGTAGTCTCACAGAATGTTTTCACTAGTCGGTACTCTTATCCTTTTCTATCTCTCTCAAAAAGAATTTTTTTCTAGTGGCCATTTTTTAAAGTATTTGAATACTTTTTAACTCAATGACTTAAGCTATTATTATTATTATTATTATTATTTTGAGAGGTATTCGCTATAGGGTGCATGCGCTCGCCAGACAGAGAGAGACAGAGAAACAGAAAGCGAGAAATCACCCCCCGAAGGGATGGCCACACCGCAATCTCTTCTCCTCCATTCTCCTCTCGGGATCTTGGGCACGCACACACACATGCCCGGCATGAGTTTTAAGCCACCGGGTCCGGGATGCGAACCGCGGTCGACTACGTGGGAGTCCAGCGACATAGCCATTATGCTAACTGCTGGTCCTTAAGCTATTATTTTAGGCACAGTCTGCAAATATGACAAATCATAACACAGAATAAACTGTGCTGGGTCAGCCCATGGCAGGGTGGTTAAGGTGACTGGATGCCACATGGCCGACTATGCAATTCCCAGATCCGGTGGCCTGAGAAACATGCCAGACACGTGTATATGAATGTCCAAAATCCTGGAAGAAGGGAGTATTGGAAGAGAAGAGATTGTGCCATGACCATTTCCTGTGGTGGGTGTCTAGACAAGTATGCCTGTTTCTCTCCCTCTCATTCTCTGTCTCTCTCCTGTGAAAACACCTGCCTTCTGGCTAATTAAAAAGAAAAAAGAAGAAGAAACTGCTATTCCAAGTTCTGGTTCTCATTTCTCTCCTTCCCAGCTACCCCTAAAGATGCTGAAATAATGAAGTGCTTTTTTTGGGGGGGGGCGGGGGTGAAGGAGTTTTCTATGCATCAAGAGTTTGCAGGCTCAGTGTTCTGTAAACATAATATCTATTTAACTGGCTTTCCCAGTGTGAGAGGCAATAGAATATCGGCCAAGAACAGAGACAGCCTGGGCCAAATTTCGGCACAGCCTATTGTGACTGACTCCTCCGAGCAAATTGCTTATTTTTTGAGCCATATTTTAGTCTTCCATAAAGTAGAGATGGTAATAAACCTTGCTTTGTCTGTTTTTGTTTTTGAGGATTCAAGAGAAGAGTCACAGTAAAGAGTTTCGATAGCACCTGACGCACAGTAAGTAACCCCTATATAGTCCTTACTATCTCCTAGTAGCACGAACCGAATCAGTGTCTTCAGACATGAAGGTACTGATTTGAAGTACAAATCAAAGAGTTGAAAAGCATTGGAGATTTAGTTGAACATCACCAGTTTCAACTTCTGGATCAATGTCAAAGGTGTCATTTCCAGGACAGATGTTCCCTCGCTTGTAGAAGTGCTGACAGATGGCCATAGCAGACTGCTCAGTACCCTCGTTCTCGTAAGCGTGATTCCCAACTGAGATGTTGCGTAGCTGCAAGTACTTCAGTGAAAAAGAGAAACAGAACATGGGAATCTAGCCAGGGCAGGAGTGAAGCCATGATGCCCCTCCCGCTCACCTTTGGAAGTGGCAGGTTCCCACCTCCCCTCAGGGTGGGGACACTCACACCAACATGCAGTGTGACTGTCCCTCTGCACCAGGAAGGCAGAGGGCAACGAGCACTCCTGAATTAGAGTTCTGGGTTCAGGTCTTGCCTCAGTCACAAACTTTCTGACTTCTGCTTTCTCATCTATAAAACTGAAAGTCTGGGGAACCAGCAGTTAGCATAATGGCTATGTCACTGGACTCCCACGTAGTCGACCGCGGTTCGCATTCCGGACCCGGTGGCTTAAAACTCACGCTGGGCATGTGTGCGTGCGTGCCCAAGATCCCAGGAGGAGAATGGAGGAGAAGGGATTGCGGCGTGACCATCTCCCCTGGGCGGTGATTTCTCGCTTTCTGTCTCTATGTCTCTCTGTCTGTCTGGCGAGCGCACGTGCCCTATAGAGAAAACCTCTCCAAAA